CTTCTTCCCTCTGAGGGTGACGGAGCCCTGGCCCAGGCTGCCCAGGGAGGCTGTGGAGTCTCCTTCTCTGGAGATATTCCAGCCCCTCCTGGCCGCGGTGCTGTGCAGCCTGCTCTGGGTGACCCTGCTTCGGCGGGAGGGTTGGGCTGGGTGACCCACAGAGGTCCCTTCCAACACCTTCCATTCTGTGATTCTGTGATTCTGTAATGTTTCTGTATAACTCAGTTCAGTTTCCGAGTTCGGGGTTTTAAAGCTATCTGCTGTAGATGATGAGAGAAGTGGGGAGTATCTGTTTCTCAAAAAATTGTAGAAAAAACCAGAATCATGGTAAGCATGGGTGGAAATCTCATCCATGAGTCCAGTGTCCTGAAATGCTGGTGCTGGGAGCACTCGTGAATGGTCCCGGAGCCAATTCCTCCGTGACCGTGAAGGACATCTCCATGGAGCAGAGCCTGATCTGTCCCGGTGGAAGGTTTATAACGGCCACAGGCTGGAGAAACTCATCCATCGCTGCCTGCTTAGGTTGCTGGGTGGGCAGTGAAGTATGGTAACAGTGCTCCACTGCTCACCCTTTGGGCTGCTGTGGTGTAAACTCATTTATGAGCAGGTTGGATTCTTGCACCCAAATTTAAATGGTGGCAAGACCTCCTATGTAGCTTTGAGCCACTAACATAGAGGAAAGCTGGTGCAAAGGAAGATCATCTACCACAGGAGACCCACCCAGTATAGGCTGACTATATTTAGAGATCACAGACCTAAATCGAACAGAAATTGAGCACGAAACTGGAGTCGTTCCACGTGCTGCAGTGAAGATGCTTTGGATTCACGCTAGTGTAAATGAGATCCAAATCTGGCTGCTCCTCGGAGATGGCCGGAGAGAGCGTGAATGAAATCCCCAGCAAAACCAGAGACTTGCTCTCGGAACCGAGCCCCCCAGCTGGCGAGCCTCGCCGGAGTGCTGGAGCTATTGAAAAATACTGCAGACAGGGAATGAATTAGAGGATAAAAAAAGTGAAAATGAGCTGGCAGAATCTTTAGGTGACTCATCAGGTGCATCTTGTAAAGTCTCTTTCCGAGAAGTAATGAAATCGCATGTTCTAACAATATTTTCAGTGCAGCAGGAAAATGCATAAATATTGGGATCAATTAATGAAATTAGATAATTTGACCAAAAAAGCCATAGTGCTGGCTCAGAAACCATCCCTCTTCCTTTTTGCTAGTCTTGGTGCTTGCAGTTGGAGAGGAAAACCCTCTCTAACTGGTGTGGTTTCCTTTCACATCAAAGATACGTGAGACCTGGGCAGTTGCAGGGTTACTGGAACACTGTGGGTAGTCACCTGCAGCTTGAGGACTTCCACCTTCACCCCATGGAAGTTCTGGAGCTGGTGGGCCGGCAGGCGCAGAAAAGCCCTGGTAGATGTCTTGGCATGCAGCCTCCCACCCTTCAGATTTTAGGATTGGTGAGGGTAGACACATCTTGTCTCAGCCAACCAAAAAGGTTGTCTCTTCGTGTCCCTCAACCTCTATTTTTTCAACTGTAAAATGAGGAATCATGATGTTCCTTAAAAAAATGAAGTTTTCCTGGGGAAAGAGCCCTGTGGATATGTGCATCAGCCTGTGACGTTTAGATATTCCAGTAACTCGTCGCACGTGGTGAAGTTCATCACGGAGCTTCAGTTCTGGAGTGAGAGCTGAATTTGGAGTGAAATGCTGGGATTGCTGGGTTCAGTGGGTCAATTTATGCTATTTATAACAGAGCGGTTACCTTATTCCAACTGTGCTTTTGTGGTCTGTGTCTGGGGAAGGCACTAACCCTCGGGTGAAGAAGAATGGCAGACGGGGACTTAACTTATGCCGTAATAATAATAAAATCTTAAGTGTGGATGCCTGGATGGCAGCCTACGCGCGCGGCGCTCGGGTAGATATTCTGGCGGGTGATCGGGCAAATGTGAGCTCTCCAAGCAAAAAAGAGCTATGGCCGTCGTCGGATTTATCATCAGCAAGAGCAGAACTCGTCAGGTTAGCCTACCCTGGCTTTGGCGCCGGGACAACTGTTGTTGGAATCGTTTGTCGAGTCGCTGGCGTCCTCGACTCAAGAGGATGTTGACAAATTGGAAAGATGTAAAAGAGCCACGAGGGTGGTTAAGAGATTGGCAAACGCGCCTTGCCAACGAAACAGCCAGTCTCCTGGCTCGGAGGAATTCTATATATTTTTTTTTCTTTAAGCGAAGGTTAAAGGGTGGCTTTAGCAGCTCCGGGTACCTGCGTGAAGACCAAAAATAGACAGCGCTGGAGGCTGTCAGACAGAGGTGTAGCACAAGCCGGTGCCTGGAAGTTGAAGCCAGACTTGAGCTGAACAGAGCAGTTTTTAATAGCAAAAGCAACGATCTGTCGTGATATTTTACAGGAGTCCTGGTTTTTCATCCATCTCTAGATATACATATATCAAAATCGGGATTTTTTTTTTAATTTTATTTTGAGTTTATAATTTGCGTTTAGGAGTAATTCACGGAGGAAAGCCCTTTGGCTTATTAAACAGGAGGCAAACGATGGGTTTGTGTATACGCCCGAGCATCTCGTGATGTTGTGCCCCTACTCATTAGCTCTACCTGCACCTCACGTAGGGTGTTTCTTCCTCAGTGCTTGTAGATCTGCCTGAGCCTGACTGGAGATGTTTTGATGCTGCTGAATTACAGTCAGTGAACTATAGGAGTATGTATATATATATATATATGTATATATATATATAAAAAAAACAGTAGATGCTCGTGAGAGTTTTAAATTATTTTTTCCTCTTCACAAGCATTTTTCGGTGTGTTTCCCTTCTTGTGAAAAATGAAAACCCGTGGCTGGCTTATTGTGAATCCAGGTTTTATTTTATTAAGCGCCGGTTTCCGCGGGAAGCTCGCCCGAGGAGAGGCTGTGCTAAATTTACCTTGAGATCTACGTGCGGCAGAGTCGCCGAAAGAATTCTCGATTTGTAAGGCTTGTAGCGGAGCGTGAAGTCTGGCTGTTGTTTTTCTTACCATTCAACATAAAAAAGAATATAATTTCTGCCTTGCTGGGCTCACCGGCCGCGCAGATTTGGAGGAGCTCGGGGTGTGTGTAAAGGATCTTGAAATACATCCTGGAAGGGTGCAGAAAAGGAGTCGGTTTTAAAGCAGTCCCTTGTGTTCATTTACTACAGCAGCTAAAAGATGAATATCTGGGGTTTGGTAGAAACCTGCACTGCTTGTGTTGTTTAAACACAATGTTCTCTTTTATTTTTCTAGCTGTGGGGAGCTCAAAAAATAAAGCAGGTAATACGCTTTTTTTTTTTATATTTCGTTATTGTGTTCAACTCTTACTGCTTTTTTTGTCCTTTTTGCTAAGCGATGCTGTCCTCTTCTCTGTTCTTGACTTTGCCAGTCGCTGTGTGTTGTCTTGCCACGGAAATGTAAATGCAGAGAACACTGTTGCCACCGAGGAGTCTGATTTTTTTTTCTTTTTTGGTGTATTTTTATATTTTGATGTCTTCATTTTCTCCTTCCTGTCTAGTCGAGAGCTTGCTTGTCTCCAGTCTTTGGAAAATAGTTTGACAGTTCTTTGGGAAGGCTCGTAACTGTGTCGTACCTTCCCTCTCTGCAGTCCCCGATCGCTTGGGGATCGATTTGTCATCCCCAGCCATTTAATACGGGCGCGACCTCCTGGGCTCATGGCAAAATTTGGTAGAAATGGGCCAAATGCGCCTTGTTTTTAGGGTTTCGGTGGAGGTTCAGCTGTCCACTGCCACCAGCGATGTCTGAGAAGCTGCAGATACGGTATAAAGGTTGAATTCTCTGGCCAACCCAAAGCCCATGGTGAGCGAGGGCATTTAATTTGGGTGACCCTTATGGTGACAACCAGAGCGGACCATACCTGCAGGTTTCTATCCCAGCCCAGGATCCTGAAGTAGCGTTTCAGGGCCGTGCAGGCTCGTGCAGTCGTACCTGTGGCTGGTGAAGACGGTCCTCGCTCTGAATCCACCCGCCGGGGCTCAGCCACACGAGTCCTTACAGGGGGGTCCCACCACCCGTCTGCTTCACCGGCAGCGTGAAGTGGTTTGTGCCCTGCCCTCCCCATCCCTCTGCCACGGCGGTGGCTTTTCCTCGCTTGCACAGGGCAGAGTTTCGGCCAAGACACGAAGCTGCACCTTGGTGGTGATGCTGGAAGCAGGCAGGGACAGAAAATGGGCTTCCCTTTTCCCCTCCTAAATCTGCACGGGGTTAAGGGACAGCGGCGGGTGGCCTTTGGGGACATCACAGTACCAAGAAAGAGCCACTTGCTATATTCCAGGTTAAATTATTGACTTCTAAATTATTAAATTCTGCAAAATTGTTGAAGGAGAGGGGAAAGCAGTGGTAGGAGGAGGTTTGGTGGAGGCTGCTGAACAAGAGCTGCCTTTGGGGTGAGCCGCGGAGGCAAGGCGGGTGCCGAGGCGCGCGAGGTCCCCAGGTGCCCTCGGGCTGAAGGTGCCGCTCGCTGGCTTCGCTGCGCCTGGCCGACTGTTGCTGTGCCTTCACTGTGGCTGTTTGCTGACTGTTTTCCAGGCCATCATCCATCCCGACACAAATGAGACCATCTTCATGCCTTTCCGAATGTCAGGTACGGTACGTCCCGACCAGACCGTCGTTAGTTTTGCTGGGAATTTGTACAAAATGTGATTTTCCTTTTTTCTCCTGTTTTTGAATTGCACCTCGTCAACTTTTTGACCGAGATCAGAAAGTAATTCAAATGCCTAAATCCTTTTGCCGTCGGGGAGAATTAGGATCCCAAATGCCTATTGCTTAATATTTTCCTTTCCTTCAGATATTTTAACGTGGACTCCAGCTAATGGTTTTTTGGGCATTTTTGAGGTATCCATCACCATAACGGGCATTTTAATTTCGTAGTAAGCAGCGAAGCTCGATGCCCAACGAGCAGCTTAGGGTTTTACTCTCCAGGAGAGAATGGGACGAGCCCTGTTTCTCCACATGTGGTGGTACCCAATAGCCGTGGCACTGGGAGCCCAGGAAGGAGCAGCTTTGTCCGGGGCTGAACCGGGCTGCTCGACGATGAAATCGTTCCCGGCTTCTTCCAGCCTTGGGGTGTCCCTCTGCCATGCACAGCTCCGCGGCTACCTCTGACGTGGGCTGAGTAGCAGATCTCGTAAGGATCCAGGTGCAGCCTTGGTCCGTTCCCAAAGGACCTCTTTAAATAAAGAGGACCTTGGGCATGTTTTTGGGGGGAGCAGCTTCACCTGAATACTGGGCACAGGGGAGAAAGAACAGGGTTGGTGGGTTTGGTTCTCCACTTCTTTGAAGAAGGATGATGTTGAGGGTGGAGGGGAGAAAAGCCAGGACCCTCTCCTTTGCTGACTTATTCTGTGGGGTTTTTTTTTTTTTTACATTTTTCTTCCTTTCAGGTCTTTGCCCTTTCCGACTGTAAATTGGATCCATGAGGCTTAATTCAGTAGTGTTGGTAAAATGCTCCGAGACCTTCTAGTGGAAGTCATAGAGATGAATTATAATTAGCACAAAAATTGGCAGACTTAGCAGGGGAAAAATGTGAAGCGTTTGATTTTTGTGGTGCTCAGTAAGATTTGGGGTGAAGGCTTATCTCTAATAGAGAGAGCTTTAACTTACACCTGTGGTTAAAATCGTCCCTCTCTCCTCCACGATACCGATATACTTTCTTCAGGGTGCTTAATCCCTGTTCCTTTTCCTACTGACCTAGAAAGAAATGAGCTCTCCTGGTACAAAATCACTCGTGGAGAGGCTGATAAAGCAGATGGAGAAAGAGGGAGGTCCCCCCGATGACGGCGTGGTCCTGCTCCTTACCTGGCGTGGGCTCTGCCGCTTGTTAGATGGCTTCTTGAGGGTCTCCAGCCCGCTACCCTGGTGGGACCAGGCCCAACGAGAGGGGAAGGGGCGCGGAAAGCCGGAGAGTTTTCTCCCGGGTTAGCGAGGGTGGGTGGTGGGAGGGTCTGATGAGCAACAGAGCTGGCACGAGGGAGGGAACAGATTGCGTGACTGAGCCCGGGAAGGGGGGCAGGATCTCCCCCTTGCCGTGGCAGCAAGCTGGTAGGTCAGCGTGGCGAGCATCCCCCGGCTCCTCCTGGTCCGGACCGAGCAGCTCCCGGGCCGAGCTGTCATCTCCTCGCTTCCGCTGATTTCATTTTTTGCTGACTGCCTGGCCCACCTCAAGAACACGATGCCCTCTGAAGTGGTGATCCCACGTACCAGCACATGCTGGGTTTACTGGAGTAAACTTTAGCGTCTTGATGTTACAAGTTTCAGGGAAAGCCTTCGACCGCAGCCCAAGAAAAGCAAACAGAGGGTGGGAAGGAGACTGGGCAAAAACCAGGAGGCTGCTCCAGTTGATGCTTGGTGCATCGGGTGTAGGTCGGCAGACGTCCCCGTGGTGGTACGGAGCTGGTGGGACTGAGTGTGGTCATGCCAGGTGTGGCCGCTGGTAGAGGTCTTAGATGTGATTTTTTTTCATACCAAAATTGTGTATTAAAATACATACATCTCTTTTTTTTTGTTTTTAACAGGTTACATTCCCTTTGGAACGCCCATCGTAAGTATTTTAACATCTCTCCCCGCTTTCTTCGCCAGTACCAAGAAATGCGTTTATTTATTAGCACTCGCAGACAATTCTCCAAATTCCACCTTAGCGTCGGCGCAGGATTCCCACCTCTCCCATCGCGCCTTAGCGAGGGCTTCCTCCTGTAAAACCCACCCTACGGACACTGTGCTTGAGGTGATTTATCCATTTAACGCCGCTCGCCCAGCCCGCTGCAACGCCGTTCTCTTTCCCCTCTGGAAAGGGAAGACCGGGATGAGCTCATCGCCTGCAAAACTAGGGCTACAAGGATGGTGAGGGGACTGGAGCATCTCCACTACGAAGAGAGGTTGAGGGAACTGGGCTTGTTCAGCCTGAAGAAGAGAAGGCTGCGAGGGGACCTTATAAATGCCTACAAATATCTGCAGGGTGGGTGTCAGGAGGATGGGGCCAAGCTCTTTTCAGTGGTGCCCAGTGACAGGGAGGCTGTGGAGTCTCCTTCTCTGGACATATTCCAGAGCCGCCTGGACAAGGTCCTCTACAGCCTACTGTAGGTGACCCTGCTTGGGCAGGAGGGTTGGACTAGATGACCCACAGAGGTCCCTTCCAACCCCTACTATTCTGTGATTCTGTGAAAACGCAACTTCGGCAACTCTCAGATTTCAGCTTTGGACAGGTTTTTTTATTAATTTTTTACACTGGCGTGGTTTACAAGTCGCTTCCCGGGCACGACGAGCTACAGCACGGCGAGGCCGGTGCCTTGCGCTCTCGTCTCGGTGAATTAAAGCGGCGAGTGCTTCCCGCGGGGTTGTTGCGAGGGGCTTTCTCGGTCTGGGCTCCTTCTTGTGAAATCTGTAAGCGTTTGGGTGCTCTCGGGAGTGAAAGCCAGGAGGGAGATGATTCTGCCTGTCTTCCTAACACTGAAACCTCAGCTCATCTTCAGGAATAATTAATTAACCCCATTTTAGGAGCGGGGAAACTGAGGCACGCGGTTTTGCCCCAGATTGCCCATGGTTGGTGCTGGAAGGTAGCTGGTCCTCCCAGCCGCCAGCTCTCGGCTCGGCTTATTAGATCACACATCTTAAAGTGGTCAAAGGAGCAAAATCTGCTAAATTTAATCTTCCTAAACCCAGTGGACCGTGGCGTAGAACTTGCTTGAAGGTAACGATCCTTTCCCAAAGGGCAACGGCGGGGTTGCTGCCGCCTAAAAGCGGCGACGGTCGTGGCTGTGACTCGTCGTCGTGCATGAGGGTTTGGTGGGAACTTTGTGTGGGGCATTTTAAAAGAAAAGGTTAAACAAAAAATGAGTTAACGATCAAATTGACAATGAAATCGGCCCAAATCCAGAGCTGTCAGAGGAGCCGAGAGCTGTCAGATGAGCCCAATTTCACTAGCTGTAAAGGATAAACTGGAACCTCTTGTCATTTAAAAA